CTGTGCAGTATATACGCAATGAGCTGAGCTCACTGGCATATCAACGCCATCTCTTCCCCAGGCTCAGACTCTAAGCTCACTAGCAGATCAGTGCAGGCTCTGGCTGGAGCCTTTGCTTTCTTGCAGCTCCAGAGCCCAGAAAGTGTGGACTGTCGTTGTTTGTCTTCTCCTCTGCACCCCCCACCACTGAATTCAGCAGCGAAGGAAAAGAGGCATCAGTGCTCACCCCCTGGACCCCAGAGCTGTGTGAAGGAGAGCTCACTGGTATCCAGGATTGTGGCAAGAGAGGCATGGCCACACCCCCCTTGGACTGTGTCGCATACACAGGGCATTTTTACATGTGCTCCGGGGTGAAGGGAGGGGGCTTTATTTAGATCAGCTCCAAGAGCCGCTTTAATTAAAGTGCCTGCAGTCTCGCATGTATTCGGTGTCCCATGTTTTAAAATGATGGCGAGGGCACCTTAACTAAAGCTTGTTCAATGAGCTTTAGTTAAAACGCCTCTGCCCCCATTTTGAAGCATAGGGAAACGCTGAATATATATGATGCAGAGGTTGCTAGAACATGTTAATTAGTACACTCCAGCAGACTCAATTAATTGAGCAGATGTCTGGCACATGTATTGGTGCCCGGTGAGCTCAGATCCTGGATCCATGCAAGCTGCAAACTATTCCCTATGTTAGAAGTGGACTGACTATTTTTAGAGGAGTGGAGCACCCACAGTTCCACTTAAAGATGCTCAGATTTTTTTAAAGTAATTTGATTTTATTTAGGTGTGCAAGTGATGGGCTTTAAGACCATACCTGAAAAAGGATTTGAGTGCTAAATGTTAGGTGAGTGATCTTTGGAATGAAATCCAGACCTCAGTGCTAGGCACCTAGGCTCCATTCAGGAACTCTAGCTTTGGGGAGCTACTTAGAACTAGCTAATAGGAAATGGTGAGGTCAAGGTTGTGTCTAACATTTCTCCAGTCCCTAGAGCTTAACCTCTACACTCAAGGTCACAGGAAGGCGCTTTAGTCCATTTGGGATCCAGAGCCTGGAACTCAAGGCTGGCGCCCACTTTTATAAGAGTCCAGTGTGTAGAACAGTTGTCCAGGATCTGAGATTTGTTTAGTTT